CATTAATAAAATTTTCTTTCTCATATACACATAATTCAAGCTAGAAAATGACAGAGGTGGACTTCAAAAGGGCAATCCATGTTCAGAGCCCATGCTCTTAATTCTATTAATTATTCTTCAGGTGGACATGTGATCTAATCCTTTTTGCTTTAAGTTCAACTTTGCATTAGGTTAGGGCCTTGGGGAGGAAGGAAATTCAATTTCTGACTTGCAAAATAAAACCAATATGGTTTCTTTCTTATTTCACCTTGATTTTCTGACATCCTAAGAATAGATTGAAGGATTTATTACAATATGAAGATGATGAACTCAATAGTTAGGTTTAATGTAGTTTTCTTTAATATTAATTCTTATACTCTATGTTTGATAATATCTAGTTAAGAAAATCAAAGATAACTGTGGAACAAAAGCTGAAATATTTTAAACTATGACTCCTGAGTTTTTCATTAGCTATTTATAAAACAGGGTGCAATTTGTTTTGGAAGCTGTTGGTTGAAATATTAAAAGTTAGTTCACACTTTTTTTTTTTTGAGTTTGTTTATTCTTTTTAGTAATTCTACATCCAACATGGAGCTCACACTCACAACCTTAAGATCAAGAGTTACAAGCTCTTCTGACTGAGCCAAACAGGCACTCATATTCCACACTTTCTAAATCTTTGTTTCTTCATGAAGGAAAACTCATAGTCTCAGTTTAGTCAAGTTAAAATTATTTTCCAAGGCAGTACTTTGAGAAGATTTAAAACAATGATAGCATGTTTCCATATCACATTTTATTATTACTATTCTTAGTGTCACAAAGTTGATAAAAATCTTGAATTCTTAGTGTTTTGGTATCTGTGATACAAAGTTTCATTATGCGTATGTTTAATTCTGTCTTTAAAGAACACTTTCTTCCCCGCTAAAAATTTATTTAATTATTTTAGAAGGAGGGAGGGGCAGAGAGAGATGCAGAAAGAGAATCTCATGCCGACTCCCCCCTGAGCACCAAGCCCAATGTAGGGGCTTGATCTCATGACCCTGAGACCATGACCTCAGCTGAAATCAAATCAAGAGTTGGACACTTAACCAACTAAGCCACGTAGGCATCCAAAATACACTTTCTTATTTAATTTATAATTTTTTAAAATTAGAAATGTTACTACTTACCAAGACAGAAAACTTGTAAAACAGAAAACAGGGAGAAAACTGATCCCATCGTGCTATTGCCTTAAGATAACCATTGTTAATATTTTGGTAGAAGTCTTTACAATGGATTTTCATGCAATATATGTATATATTTTCTGTACAAAATTGATTCCACACACAGTATTTAACCATCTTCTTTTTATAAGTATATTAAAAACATTTTCTCATATCAATAAATATTACTCTAAAACTTCATCTCTAATGACTGCAGAATAATCTGTGGCATAGTGTTTAAAACATGGTAATACTTTTTTATGTGAGAATCAAGTGATTTGCTCATTCCAAAAATTCCAAACAGTGCAAAAAAAATAACAATTATAAAATTTATGTCAACCGTAAGTCTGCTTTCTGGAAATATATACTATTAAAACACACACTGTTTTAAATGTGATTATGCATGCTGTTTTGTGCCTTTCTTTTCCTTTAGAAAACTATTTTTACTTTTACTTTTTCCAGTTTTTTTTGAGATATAGTTGACATTCTTTTCTTTTAATAACAAAAGTCTTTTCAAGATGATGAAAACAGATCCACATCAAAATTTTAAACTTTGTGTAATATTTCATTGTGAATATAACAGGGTCATTGATGGGGGTTTTAGAAATGGAAAGGGGAGAGTGTTCCTGGGTGGTTCAGTTGGTTAAGTGTCCAACTCCTAATTTTGGCTCAGGTCATGATCTCCAGATTGTGAGATAGAGCTACATCGGTGGGTTGGCAGATGGTCTGTGCTCAGCAGGGAGTCTGCTGGAGATCCTCTCTCTCCTGCTCACTCTGCCCCTCCTCATGCTGGTGCATGCTCTTTCTCTCTCTCCCAAATAAATAAATTTTAGAAAAGAAAAGTGAAGAGGAAGACTTAAATCCTAGTGTGCTACTTAAAACTTGTGTGATTTTAGATAAACGACTGGTTGCTGTGAATCTCAATTGCTTAATGGAAATCATGAGGTCTAACTAGCAGTAGTAGTAAAGTGTTAGCAGGAACAGGTTGGGGTGGGGGTAAACTCAAATGTTTTTAGCATCCAAGTCCTGAAGAGGACCAACTTTAACTCTTCAAATTTCAGATAATATGGAATGCTTTAGTTTGTGTCCAAATGGAATTTTTGCAGCCCTACCCAAAGTCACTCACACTGGGAAGCAGAAGAAAACAATACACTGAAGGCCAAAAGAACAAGAAAGAAAGAAGGGAAGAAAGAAGAAGAAGAAGAACAAGAAGAACAAGAACAAGAAGAAGAAGAAAGAGAGAGAGAGAGAGAGAGAGAAAGACAAAGAAAGGAAGAAAGAGAGAAAGAAAAACCCATGAAGCAAACCAGATCCTTCATCCATTGCTGATGGAAATGCAAATGGTGCAGTCACCTTGGAAAAGAGTCTAGCAATTCCTCAAAAGAGAAAATGGAGTTATTACCACACTGAGACAGGGAAAGTAAAAGACTCCATAAAAATCTGCTTTTTGCTCCTTTTTCCTGCTTCCTTTCTTGCTAGGACCTGCACCTCCACCCCATTTTACACATGTCTTATAAACAGCATCTATCCTCTTTGTAAGGGACAAGGAATTAATTGTTCTCTAGAATAAATGGCATCTAAAGAAGGACCAGGGAAGCTATCCTAATGAGCATTCCAGACCACTGGAGCTAGACATCTGAACGCAAGAGCCCCTGGCTCCAAGGAATGACACCTGGGCCCTTGTCTTTGTTCTAACAGGTTCCTGGATGCCTGAGAGGAGGATATACCAGACTCTGCCCTCAGTAAACTGCCCCCCACCCAAGCTCCAAACAAAAATGAGACTCCCTCCTTTCCTTTCTGAGTCTCCTAGACACTCACTCTGCTAATTGCTTTCTCTTTATCTTCAATAAACTCTGCTTTTACCTCCTGCTGGCTCATGTTTGATTTCCATCCTGTGTGAAGCCAAGGACCTTCTTGGCTGGTCCCAGCCTGCTGCATCAATATGAACCAGCAATTTCAATTCTAAGTATATACCTAAGAGAATGAAAACATACATCTGTCTACAATAACTTGTACAGGAATCTTCATTGCAGTATTATTCCTAATAGCCAAAAAAATGTACACAACTCAATGTCTGTCAAAAGATGAATGAATTAATAGAATGATTTTACATATCCATGCAATGGTATATTTGACAATAAAAAGGAATAAGTAGTAACATGCTACAACATGGATGAATCTTGAAAAGACTATGCTAACTGAAAGAACTGTCATAAAAGACCACATACTGTATGACTTATTCATGTATATGAAATGTCTGGACTAAGCAAATCTATAGGCAGAAAGTAGGTTAGTGATTGCATAGAGCCTGGGCGTGAGTGAAATGGGGGGACTGCCCACAGGTACAGGAATTCTTTTCGGACTGATGAAAATGTTCTAAAATTGATTGTGGTGGTAGTCGCACAACTCTGTGAATGTACTAAAACCTGTTGGACACTTAAATGGATGAAATGCTGGTATGTGAATTATATCTCAATAAGGCTGTTGGAATAAAAAGCAAACTAGGGCATTGTAATTCTGAAGGATCATAATAAGATGGTATATAAAGTGTTGGACAGATAAAGTTCTTAACAAATGGTGGCCTTAACTCATTGAAGGAATTGTTTGTTTACATTTTCCTCACCATAATCAACATTTTAAAAAGATCATTTTATATATACAGCAAAACAATACTGAACACTGTTGCGGACTGTTTTCCTTCTGAACCTTTGGAGATGTAGATGTGTTGATGAGATGTTATGTACATTATTTTTAGGACCCCGTGTCCTCAGAAGGGCTGGACCCATGGACAATTCTCTGAGTATACGGCGCTAGCAAAGATTTTTTTAAAAGAATTTTTCTGTCAAAATGGTGATAAAACACACACATCAAAGAGACTTAGCATTTTTTCAAAGGCCTTACTTTGGGAAAAGATTTTGGTATTGTTAAAATAGATATTCAAACCTTCTCCGACATAATGCTTGGTAGAAAGCCATACAGGATGATTCTGCTTTGATCCTTTTCGTGGAAGTTTGCAGGCATTGCTGAAGGGGAAAACGTGGTGTCCCGCTCAGTACCAAGTTTCCCTGACTACTTCTAACAATGGGTATTAACGCAAACTCTCCTGCAAGTTGTAAACCGTCTGAAAAAACCAGCTTCAATACTTAAGCCTGACTTTAATCAGTTGAAATGTTAACAGGTGGGGAGAAGGCTCCAGAGAACTGTGTGAGGAGGCGTGGGACTGTGAATTTGAGTGAAGAGAAGGCCACCGATTTAAATAAAAAACAGAGAGGTGAAAGAATTTGGGGGACACAGTGTGTACGTTTTTAAGCTCCCTCTCCCGCCCAAAGGTTGTGCCAGTGGGCAACTGGAGCCCCCAAACTTGCTCTTCCCTAGGTAACGAAGCTAGTCCGGGGCTGCCAGCACTTGCAAGAAGTTTAGGGGCAGAATGCCCGAGCGCCGCGGAGAGCCGATGCGTGGGGCAGACGGCCTCCGGGCAGTTCACGCCGGGGCGGCTGGAGGTACCCACCGGCTGGAGCGAGGAAGCTGTGGGTACGGGAGGGCGGGGACGTAGGGGCGGGTAAGCAAAGGTCTGGCGATTGTGTCGGGAGAAGAACGGGGCGTTGACAGCGGCGGGCGGAGCCCACGACCAGTGATGTAAGGAGCAGAGGGACCCCAGTGGGAGAGTCGGGGTTGCACTGTGAGACTCCAGGGGTGTGGGGCGGGGGATCCCAGTCCCCGCCCTGTTTTCCCCACCCCTCCCCCGCCTCCTTTACGCCCCTCCCCCCTCCTCCCCTCTGGTTGGAAAGTTTCTAGAATCTCTTCCCAGCGGCCTTTGCGGTTCCAACATGGCGGAGCTGACGGTGGAGGTTCGCGGCTCCAACGGGGCTTTCTACAAGGTATTGACCCTGTTGCCACTTTGTCGGGTGTTCTGGGGGCTAAGGCAGGTTTGGGGGAGGGCTGGTGGTCCCAAAGAGTGAGGTTTGGAGTCGAAAAGGGCGGCCAGGCCGAAGCCGGGGCTGCTGGGTTCCTCGCTTCTCCCCCCTCCACCCGCGGTTTAACGGTCTCGGGGGCCAGGGCTCCGTTATGTTTTGAAACAACACGTCGGACACCTCTTGCGTTTTTCTACTTATGAACCTTATTTTTGGATGCTAGTGCGGCCCTTGTTGGGCCGGTGAGGAGAAGCCGAGTCGCCGCGGGGCGGCGAGGAGCTCCCTGGGAGCAGGCCTGTGCGCCGGGAGGTTGGGGAGTCGTGAAAGGAGGTGGTGGGATTGTGTGGTCACAGCCGCTCCCCCGCCCCTCGGACTGGGCCGAGCGGGAGCGCCTCGGCACGCTGCTCCGACCCCTCCCCATCCTTTTGCGGGGGGGGGGGGGGGTGGTGGTGTGCGTCGCGGAATCTTAAGAATTTACCTTTGTATTAGGGTCTGGGGCTAATAAACTTCAGTGTCTGACTAGGAAGCGCGTTCCGAATTGAGGGTTAGGATCGAAGAGAAAACTAGAAAACCTAAGGTGGCGGGTTGAAATATTTTTGCGGCCTGGGAAATTGGGCGGCGCCTTAGCCCCTTTATTACGGAAGAAAAGGCTAGAGTTAAAGGCTTTAAAGTAAGATTGAGAAAATGAAATCGATCAGGGAGACTGGTGGGGAGGTGACTAATTTCTTTATATTAGTTATTCAGTGTTTTTGGAAAGAATTGTTGCTTTTTGTTTCTTCCCCACGAGGTTTTTTGTTTGTTTGCACCGGGAGATGCATTATTATGGGATGGGGACTGGAAAACAGAAGAGGAATTCGAGAGTAGAGGAATTCAGTCGGGGCTTCCAGTGTAAGGGGGGGGGGGGTCACATTACTGAAAAATCCTTTCAGTTTAGTTTTGCCATTGTAACGGTTCGTTGTCCTGATTTTTTTCTCCAAAAGTATGTTAGAAGATCAATACAAAATCTCCCCAGCTGTGTCTGTCAGTCAATCTTATTAAGTAAGCCAGGATCTCAAATGTTTGAGAGTCCTGGCTATTTTTATGAAGGGCCTCTCTTAATACAGGAGTATTGTGTGTACTCAGAATATATTCTCTCTGGGTTTCATTTCAGCCTACCTTTTGTCCCACCGGATTTATTTTATTTGGTGGTCGTAATTTCCTCTTGTTAGTGTTGTTTTCGTTTTGTAGGTTGCTGATAAGCTGTATGGATTTGGTTTAACTGTCACGTGGTGATAGCATGGTGGGGAGTCACATTTGGCGTCTAAAAGGATCTCCCTAAGCTTTTTACAAGTTGCCTTAGGTGGTCAGCAAAGTAAAAACAGTGACTGCCGGGTGGAAAGGAGGCTTTTTGCTTGACTCGATATAGATTTAATATTTGGTGTCAAAAGATCTAAGTGAAATTTGAGTAGATACTTCATTGACTTCTTACTGAAACACAGTAGTTGCCTTCTCTGAGCCCAGATACAGTTGTGGCACGATGCACAAAGAATGGGCTTGCCATACTTTTGCTCTCGAGGGTAGGTAAGGTTCATCATTTTTGCACACCTACCCCCGTGGAAAAGTTTCATATTCCCACTGTATGGTGTTACAGTTGTGTAATGGATGTATGCTTTTTTCCCCCCTCCTCTAGGAAATTGAAAAATAAAATTTTTTTGCCTTTAGTTATTTCGTAGCATGTGGATGGTAGGACATACCTTTTTTAGCCAAGTATTGGTGTTGATCGCTACAGAAAATACTCATTTCTTACTTTTATTTTGTAAGATTATTTAAGGTTATCAGCTTGAAAGTCTTAAGATTGTTTACAGCATTTTTTTGTTTGTTTGTTTGTTTTTAATTTTATTTTGAGAGCGAGAGAGCACGAGCGGGAGCAGAGGGAGAGGGAGAAGTAGACAGGGAGGCCGGCAGGGGGCTCCATCCTAGGACCCAGGGATCTGAGTTGAAGGCAGACGCTTAACCGACTGAGCCACCCAAGGGGCCTCTGGAGTGGTTTTTTTTTTCCCCCCATGGTTTTTTTAAAAAATAAAATTCTCAGTGAATGTCCCCGTTTTGGAACTCTGAAGTATTGTTGATCCTTATCCTTACTCTGCAGATCTGTTTGAGTCTACCTAGACTTTGAGTCGACTCATTTTTACTTCACAAAGAAAGGTATACTTTGGCAAAGGTTGGGAGGGATCCTAGCCACATTGTACTAAAATAATTGCACTTGAATGTTTGGAATTTTATGTCCTACCATAATCCACTTGCACATTGTGGAAACTGGGGTCTTCAGAACTCTGGAAGAGCGAGAATGGTGAGGTGGGAGGAGCCCTGGATTTGAAGTTAGGTAATGGTAAACTGAATTCCCATGTATTTATCTGTGCACGCCTGAGAATATATTTTCTGTAAAATGAAGGGTTTGAGTTTGTTCATATCCCCAATTTTTTAACCCCATGGAACTGCTTGCTCACTTGGAAAAAAATTGATTTACTCACTATTATTTTTAACTACATGGATTTTTTAGATTAATTTGCATGTGGTAAAATTTACCTTTTCTGGTACATAATTACATGTGTAACAACCCCCAACACGATGGAGATCAAGAAGTTCCACTGTTCCCCGAATTTCTCTCACGTGCCTTTGTAGTCTCCTTCTCTTCTCACCCTTAGATCCTAGAGCGTTTTCCTGTCCCCATAGTTTTGCCTTTGCCAGAATGTCCTATATGTAGATTCATACAGTATGCTGAGTGTTTTGAGTCTGGCTTCTTTCATTTAGCATAGCAGCAATTTAATTTTAAGTAAAATCTTCTAAACAATAATAGTGGTCAGTGAAGGCATTTTGGAAAGAAAAGTTGCCTTTGAATAACAGCTGTTAACATTTTGGTTTATTCTTTCTGTGGTGGTCTTCAGTGTGCAGGTGATTCTGATTTTCGTCCTTTTCTTCCCTTCCCCCATATACAGACACAGCTGTAAATGCTAATCACAGTAGAATTTCAAAATCATGGGTTTAGTAGCCTGTATCATCATGCTTTGAGGCAGTACTCTGTAGACATTTATTAAAGATACTCTGGTGGAACTGAAACTTCTTACAAATTAATTGGAACCAGTGAAAAGCTAAAAGAAGATGTGACCTAAAATTAGGATCGTTTAAAAAAAAATACTATGTTTTCTATCTTTTTTTTTTTTTTTTAAACAGTGAATCTGTAGTTTGTTAAGGAGATAAAAGCTTGATGTGCTTCTCTTCGCTCTTCAGCTTCTAAATCTTTGGGAATTGGGAAGAGATGTTAAGTACTTGATAGGGGATATAATTTTATATAAAAATTTGTTTATAGCCTTTTCTACCTAGAGTGAGGCATCTTAGGGTTTATACTATTGGCCATTGAAGGTGCTTTTATTTAAGATAGAATTTACATTTTATGGTTGTTAGTGTATTTATAGAGTTGTGTGACCATTACCACAACCTTACTGTAGAACATTTCAGTTATCCCCCCAAAACCCTCTGCCCATTTGGAGTTGTTAAAATGCTTAGCAACTGATGTGTTCTGATACTGACTTTGTAATAGCATTCCAACTTGCATAGCCATGGGCAGAATATAATTTAAGTAGAGGTTGAAAGTCCGTCCCTCAATTTCTGGCTGATAGGAAAGTTTCCATGGTGTTCTAAGGAAATGTGTAATCTCTGAGATGGCTGAGTGAAATTTCAGGCCTTCTGTAGAAGACAGGATTACTTTCAGAGGTCTGCAATTTCTGCTTTGACTGACTACAAATTTCAGAGAGCTACAGTATTTCCAAAATTTCCTGTTACTTTGATATTAAAATGAAATTTGAGAATAATTCAATTATGCAGTAGGTTTGTTAGTATTAATGATGACCTATAGAATTTTAGTAGAGGAATTTCTTGAGAGTACTGAGTTTTCAAAGTTAGTACTGAATATTGATTTCTTTGTGCAGATTAATAATTGAGGAAAAGATAGATGGTGGTTGCTTTAATATTAGGGACACTGTTAAGTTAAAAACACATTTCCACGTATTTTAAAGATAATTCCCAGTTGTACATTTTTTTTTTAAAGATTTTATCTATTTATTTGACAGAAAGACCACAAGTAGGCAGAGAAGCAGGCGGGGGGGGGGGGGGGGAAGCAGGCTCCCCGCTGAGCAGAGAGCCCAACATGGGGCTCCATCCCAGGACCCTGGGATTATGACCTGAGCTGAAGGCAGAGGCTTAACCTGCTGAGCCACCCAGGCGCCCCCCAGTTGTACATTTTTTAATTGAAAATTGTTTTTTGGCAAAAGATTTAACTTAATACTGTATGTATGGGGAGTCCACATGTGGGAATTCCAAAGATTGCCCTAATCATACATATTTTAAAATGTGCTTTTATAAAAACATAAAAGAACTAAGATTTAACTGAAGAAGTCACTTAATTTTTAGAAATTATACTTTTTTGTAATCTTATTTTTATATTATAAAAGCAATATGTAAGTATGAAAAATTTGAAAACAAAAACGAAAAAAGAAAAATTTTATCTATCTAGAGATATATATTGTCAAGGCCTTGGCTTTATGTACTTAAAACATACTTTCTTCCATATTTTCATGCACTTGTATGTTTCTTATAACATCACATATCTGTGTGCATTTTGTAAGATAATAGTTTACTGTGTCTGTTACTTGTTAGTCTATGAAGCTTATACTAGTATTTTCTGATTTTGTTCTTTCAAAAATTCCATGAGATAGATGTTTTTATTCCCATTTTATATACTAGGAAACTGACAGTAACAGGTAACTTATCCATACATAAACTGGAGCTGAAATGAGATTTAACTCGAGGGCTTCTCATTTCCAGTGCCTAATTTAGTATAGTGTTAGGGGTTCTTCAAAGGAAATCTCAGAGTAGTGGGCATATACATAAGTACTTTCGTTACAGAGACAGGGCAGGGTGCATGGGTGGCT